CCAAAACTCCACTGCGATCCACTCACTAAGGTGAATTTTAGTGTGCTGGAGTGTGTTTAAATTGTGCTATAAACAACCAGCCTGTTTACAGAGAAGTAGAAGGATTTGCTTAACCCAAGACCATAGGCTCATTTATCTTGCTTCCTTCTCTTTGCTGGTGTCAGACTATTTTTTCCTGTGTGTCACTAAAACTCTCCCTGGAGCTTTGTTGATTAGCTGCAGAACTCAAAGTGGTTTGTATTGAGATTCAGGCAGGAAAATGCTGTTGTATTAGAAGTAATGGCCTTGGTGTCAGCCCAGTGAGCCAGGAGAGAACACACACCAGCCTGCCCAGTGTTTCTGCATGTCCGAGAGCCACAGCCAGTCTTGTATTAATTATACCAGTGCACAGTGGGCTGAGGGGTGCTGAAGCTCTCGGTGGTAAACCAAAATGATGGTAGAAGGCACAGAACGCACCAGAGTTCATCTCTTTACCCCTAGATCTGAGCTCAGCTACTTAATGCTCAGCTGAGATTTGTCCTTATTGTCAGAAGGATACCAGCAAAGCTGTCCATGTCTTTCCTGTTCTTTAGCTGGTGAATAATATTGTTGCTTTTTTCTTTCCTTTCCTTTCTAAAGAACATTCGAAAGTATTTGCTGACTGAAGCAAAAGAGAAGAATCGCCCCGAGTTTCTTCAGGGCTGGCAGACTGCTGTGACAAAGGTAAGTGGCAGCTCTTGGAGCTCTGGAGTCTGAGATTTTAGGAGGCTGCTTCTAAACCCATGTATTTGAACAAGTAATAAATTGTTTTACGCTGACCACATGGAGGGTGGTAGTAACAACACAGGTGGTTACACATGAGAATTAGAGTTCTGTTGATCATTCAGCTCTCACCAGGTCTTTAATACTTTCTGACTTGGTGATCTGAGCCTAATCTCTGGGCAATTAAATACCCATGCAGCAAAACCTGTAGCTGGTGCCCATGTTGGCACAAAGTCAGAAGTGAATGAGCTGCATACTCAGCTTCCTGACTTTTCCCGAAAGGACTGTTCTGAACTGTGCCAAATGAATGGGGTTTGGTGAGGGAGGGACAAGCAATGCTGCTTCTGCTTGTATTTTATGTTTGCTATGGATAGAGGTCTCCAGGGCTCTTTGTGGCACATTGCATTTGATCACAAGTAAACAAAGTCTGGAAACAATTAAAGGGAATAACCTGTGTGTAGTGTAAATGAGGGAATATGTGATTAGCGTAGCCATCCCATAATGGCTCCAAAGATATAAAACAGGTCATTGCACACCAGACATACTCCCAACAGCTCCCTCCTCGCACAGGTTTATTTTTAGATGCCGATACAGAATCACAGAATGTGAGGAGTTGGAAGGGACCTCAAAAGCTCATCCAGTCCAACCCCTGCCAGAGCAGGATCACCAGACCAGGTCACACAGGAACACGTCCAGGCGGGTTTTGAATGTCTGCAGAGAAGGAGACTCCACAACCTCTCTGGGCAGCCTGGGCCATGCTCTGTCACCCTTACAGTAAAAAAGTTTTTCCCCATGTTCAGATTGAACCTCCTATGCTCCAGCTTGCTCCCATTGCCCCTTGTCCTCTCATTGGACATCACTGAGCAGAGCCTGGCTCCTTCCTCCTGACACTCACCTTTTACAAATTTATAAACATTAATGAGGTCACCCCTCAGTCTCCTCCAAGCCAAAGAGACCCAGCTCCCTCAATGGATACAATGATGGGATGATTCCTGTCTGCACTCAAGCACACCCTGTGCAGCCAGGGCTTGTCCTCCTGCTTTCTGTGAGGCAGAAAACCTAGGAGCTGAGGCAAAAGAATTACTTTTCAAGTGCCAGAAACAGCACTACTGAATGGGACTTCGTAGCTCAGCATATCAAAATTGAGCATATTTGAAGAAATAATGAAGGTTGAAAGTGATCATTTACAACTGCCTTGCTCATTCCTGTCATCTGACGATGTGCCACCCTTCTTGTGGTACCTGAGACCCTTTCGTGTGGCTGGGGATGGAAAGTCCCTGCTGGTAGCATGGGTGCTGAGAGTAATCTTGCTTTAGACCTGTGTGACTTTGCCGATAGAGCTTGGTCCTGTGTAAAGCAGATAATGCTGTACAAACATTTATTTAAACTAATTGAGAAGCTGTTCTGTGTAGGTCACTAAAAGAAAATAAACTTTAAAGAAAGATTTGTAATTTGTTTTCTATCCCCCACTATATATTTTTCTAAATGTTAGGTGTTATTCTAACAAGGTGTTGAGTGTCACCTTGCAGAAGTTGGGATCAGAATGAGTAATTACAGCTCCATTCTCTAGTGCTGCACAACAGTGAGATAGCCGATCGTTTTGCTGAATATCTCCTTTTGGACTTTAAGCAGGATTTGGAGAATAAAAGGATAAGTGAAGATCTGACATGTCTCTTTTTGTTTCTTTTCCTTTTAGTGCATTCCACAACAGAAAAATGACAGTGACTGTGGGGTTTTTGTGCTCCAGGTAAGAGTACTGCATTTCAAAAATCAGCGGCCTGTATTGTTCACACAGTAAATGTCCTTTTTTCAATCAAGCCTTTTCCTTTTCCTCAGTACTGCAAGTGCCTCGCCTTAGACCAGCCTTTTCAGTTCTCCCAGGAAGATATGCCCCGAGTGAGAAAAAGGATTTACAAGGAGCTGTGTGAATGCCAGCTAATAGACTAATAAAATGCAGCCAACCTAATTTCTCTGGCATTTCTGACAAGTTGCAGCTGGTGTTTGTGTACTTGAATTTCTGAAAACTTCCATGAATTTTGAGCGATTCTCAGCTGAGTGGTGTGGCCACTGTCGTTACCTCAATTTTTTGACAAGCTCTTTAACTGGCAGAATGTAACAGAGCTGCCATAAAATATTCCTAATGTCAGTTTGGTTCTCTTATGTTCTTTCCTGTATTTAATATTTATTATCTCAGCATGCATATAGGCAAAGAATGCAACTAAAAGCATAAAATTGTAGATTTGGTGCACCTTTGAGATGTAGCTAGAAATGACAAATACAGGTGAATTTGTCTGGAAACATAAAGATGCATGATATGTTTTCTGATGCAATAATGCTTTGAATGTATCAAAAAAAATTCAATGCCATAAAAAGAAGAGCTAGAACCTGTTTGATAGTTCCATTGTCCCTGTTGTGGCTGTATAATACTGAATTACAACTTTTTAGGGTGGCTAAATTCATTGACAGATTTAATTTCTGAAGGACCCTTTTTTAAATAGTTCAAGTTGCTAATAAAGTTTGTTCTTTTAACATTTATCCAGCTGTCATTATCAGCCTGTCCCTATAGATAAAAAGCAACCTTTGCACAAATAAAGCTTCACCGCTTGTCTGGACAATAAAAAGTACAAAGGTGTTCAGTCAGATTGATGGTATATTCCTATATGCTGCAGAAGTCTCCATGATGTGTGTGTTAAGGAGAATTACAAAGCTGGCCCTGAAGAGTCACAGCTCAGATACCAAGATAAGCTCCTTGGCTGTAACTGTTTAAATCTCAGATGGCTTTGACTCGTTTTTCAGTTACACTCTATGCAGTGAAATGTACCATTTCAGCATCTCCCTTCAGCTCTGTCTTCAGCTGAATTTCCTTCAAGCTTGTTGTGTTTAACCTCCCATTGGCTTTTGCCTTTGTTCAAATATAAATTAATTCATCTCTGCTGCATCTGCTGGTTGATTGTCTCGAACATCCTTGGTTTTGTTTGCGTTCAGTAGCACCGAGGGGTCGGGGTGGGAATAAGAGCACTTGTGGTGGGTGCTGTGCAAACAGCAGGTGATGTCCTGCTGCTCTGGAGGAGCACTGAACCTTGCTGTGTTGTTGCACTGGGTGGGGGTGAGTGGGAGGATCTTGAGACACTTGGGGTTTTTTTTTTGCCTTGATCTGTAAACTGTGATGTGCTCCTTGCTGAAGAGAGCAAGTTTTGTGTGAAGAAACTGTTGTATGGGACTGCTACACCAGTAAATGTCTTTGCTGTGGTTTTCTACCAGGTAAAGGAGTGAGGCCAGAGAAAAACTTATTTCCAATGCTAAATGTCACCTGTTGTACAGCTTCGCTTTGCGGCTGTCCATAGGACTGACTTCTGATGGAGGAAAACCACTTTCCTTGTCTTGCAAATTAATTCAGGCTTGAGCTAAGCCAGGTGCAAATCCCTCCTGGATTACGGGAGGGAGCAGCAAGCACAGTCAGGTCAGGAGATGGAAGCTCATGCACGCTGTGTTGTGCTGGAGAAGGAGGAGTTCTCACCTCGGTGTAACTTGTCACTGAACGTGTACACCAGCGTGTACAAAGAAGGAGAATTGGGTGGCCAGGAAAAGTGAAAGCAGAGCCAGCTTTCAATGTGTGCAAGTGAAGCTGTATCCTCATGCAAGACTCCCTGCAGAAAGGGAGTGAAATAGAGAACGGGAGCTGCATAAACAAGCTGCCTTTATTTTTACAACTATTTGGTAAGGAGGCTGGAAAGGTGTGCTGTGACTGTACCAGCCTGGGACACCCAGTGCCTCTAAGGAAGACCCTTTTTTTTTGTGGAAGTCACCTTATTGATGGAGTTTTCATTGCATGGGAATGTGTTGCAGCACTGGACCACAGGAAGTCCTTTCTGGAAACGTGGCACTTACTACTGGTTGGTGGGAATCCATCTTTTCTATGAGAGGTTGGAAGGAGTCTGTAATCATGATCCCTTTAACAGTGACATCAGTAAAAGGATGGGGTTTGTCTGTGTTTAATGGGAACGTGGGCGCTTTGAAGCAAGCGTGTATGCGTACCAGATCATTTGAGGGGAGAGGAGCTTGCGTTTGAATCTGCTGCCTTGTGAAGTGGGGAGCAGGGCGGGGAAAGATGCGTGTTGGAAAGTACTTGTTATGCGCTCCTTGTCACCTCGAGGTTTGCTGACAAGTGTTCAGTGGGTTACGGGGCAGGACAGCGGAGTTGTGCTCGAGTCTCCAGCTGTGAACACACCAGCGAGAGGCCGCTGGAAAAAAAAAGGAGGGGAAATTGAAAACAGAGCTAATGTAAGCAAAGTCAGTTGGTGCAGGCTTGAAATTAATCACAGGCAGACAGAATCTCAGGCTCTGTAATGGTGTATCCTGCGAAACCGGACTAATTAACTCCTCCTTGAGAATGTCTTTGATGCCTTAGAGGAGATGGACTCCATAATCTGCAGTCATTTTACCAGTTCTTACAACATTCAGGACTATGTAGAGTGTTTTTATTATGAGAGGCACATTTATGTGGATGTAGTTATGGCTGTTAGCAATCCCATTAATGCGATCTTCAGAATCTCATAAATCACTCTGAACTGGTTTGGCTGGCACTTAAATTTCATGACTTGTTCTGAGGAGATCGTCTCACTCCGCTGATTTACACAAATAGTCCCAGCACCGGCGAAGCCTTCGTCTCATGTGTGACAAATTTAAGCTACCCGAGTTGTAATAAACCTTAAACACAATTGGAAATAAATTATCAGTTTCCATTTTATTTGCTTTAGTCTATAGTTTAAAATGACTGTAGCTGATATAAATCAAAAAAATGCAAAATGTGGCCTCGATTCTGCAAGGTAAGTAGCGAAACGCCGATTGCTGAGCCAGGAGATACCTGCAGAGCAGAGCCTGAACTCTTCTGCGGTTGCTCCATTCCTACCTGGCCATCCCGAGTGTGAAGGTGATATTTTCCATGTTTCAAGTTGCTGGTTTGTGTTGAATCTCTAGAATAATGCTTAACCTATCTTTACCTTCTCGGAGTTTTGATTGGCGTTATCTACTGCAGCATTTCTTCAGTGTGAAAATGTAAACCTTGGGAAGTGACATCGACTTAACTCCACCGAGCAACAACTGCATTTTGTGGGTGTGTTCTTGCATCGAATGAAGCCCACGTTCCTGTGAAGTAATAAAATTGAGCTTTACCATAAACCCTGTTTTCTTTCAGCAGTTTGGTTTCCTTTTAATTTGAAAAGCAACGGATGTGACGGCTGAGGGGATGTTTGTAGCAGCTTGTTTTGGGATCTGTGTCATTAGGAGAAGCCTCTCCAGCTGATTAGTTCAATAACACTGAACTGCACTAAGGATGCTCTCTGTTCCGTAGCACCAGAGTGATATCACTTACTGTGGTTTGAGCTGTGACAACATACAAGACTGGAGATGGCACATAGTGCATAAATAAGGAGGGAAATCTTGTCTTAGTGTCTTTCTTCTAAGGTGGCATTTAAAAAAACACATCTGTCAGCAGAGCAGGTAGGACTTAAATTGCTTTTCTAGATCAAACTAAATTAATGTCCTCGTATTGCTTGTTGATTTAGCTGTGTAACTATAGAGTTAAATCTTGTCTTCGCTGAATTTTACAAAGCTATACAGCTCATGAATTTGTGATAATGGGGGTGAATGAAGGCTTAGCGAATGTCTCTTTAAGCTATTAATCATGAGACTGGCAACATCATTGTCTTTATTACATTCATAATTTAAAAATCCTATCATGGAGGAGGAAACATGGGTGCTTGTTAAATAGATTCTTCAGTGAAAAGTACTAAGAAATCAGATCGTTAAAGTACAGAATCATAAGAGACGCGAGAGCCTTGCCAGGAACAATAATTACTATTTATATGTAAAGGCATTGGGAGGGCAAGAGATGAGTCTGGTTTGCTTGTGCCTGAACTTAATGGATCCTATGAGTAACCAACTAGAAGGATTTGGGGATTGAATTTTGTTTTCAGAGCATGCAATATCACAAGCTATAGAGCTAAAAACCATTGCAAACTGAGTGAAATATCTTGAGAAATCAGCTGGTTTGTTGTGTCTCAATGCAAGCAAGCAAAACACGTGCGAAGCAGCTCCTGCTCCTGCCTGAAATTCTGATGAGTTATGATTCTGAATTCTTGGGTTTGATTTCAGCTTTGCTGGTAACTCTTCTCCCCTAATGCGGCACTTTCTTGAGGTTGCAGACCTTCCCTAATGCCTGGGTTACCTGGGTCTCCACAGGCAACTTTAGGAAGCGGCCGAGAGGAGAAGGGATCAAAAACCCATTGGGGTATCTCTTCGCACCGTTTTGTGATAAATGTGTCATGGGAGGAAGGGCAGGGGAGAAGCTGAGCTTTAAATAAGATGTATTTAACTGGATAATGTGGGTCAGGTCATGTTTATGGTACGTGAACATGATATAGGCAAAGAACCATCTTGTTTATGAAAGCGGTTGGGATGAGTGGGAGAGAAACATGGGGAAGGGACGACTCGTCTGCAGGGACCACGGCTGCTCTGCGCGCATTGGGACGCTGTGTCTCACTGCCAGCCCCTGCGTTTTACATCGACTGAATGCAGGCAGCAACCGCAGCGAGGGAAGAGACTCCCTGCGCAGCGCTCAGCCCAACGTCACGTTTGCTTAGGACAGTCGTGGCTTGGCAATTGATCCTCAGCATCTCCGACAGCTCCAGCCTATTGAAAATCAGACAAGTGTGCTTCTGCTCCACTGCAAACACTGTGTCTGCCCACAGGCTCTCACAGATTCAGTCCATTCCAGCTCCCCTTTCAGTTCCTGGCTTCTCAGGGGCTTCAAGGTGGAGGATTTTTTCTTTTTAAATAAGTCTGAGGTACAGAGAAGTTTTAAGATGTATCTTCAATAAATGCATCCCCTTCTCATTCAGGAAACTTGTCTTTGGAGATCTGCATTCAGTTTTGCATACTGAAATACTTCTGTTTCTCACGTAATTAGTACAAGGTGGCAATCTTTAATTGCTACCATTAATGGGCAGAAAGGGACTTCAGGGCTTAAGTTTTGGCAGAGTTTTGTGGTTTGTCCTCTGGCGGATCACACTTCAGATGAATGTTTGTTGTTTTGTTGTTGTGGTTGTTTGCCTTTCTTTTTCCTTTAGGATATAAATATAGCTAAAAGATGCTGAAAAACTTTAGGCTAATGAAATGCAATGCCTTAAATTTATCTCCAGGATTCTTGTAGACACTTGATTGTCCCCAAAGGGGATGTCCAGTCTTTAGAAGGTACTGGGATGTACGCTGAGAGGAAAACAGGGAGTATACAGACTCAGTTCCCAGTATCGCCATTTGATCATTTTCCTAGATCATACATTAGAAACTGAGCATTTAGGTCCTGGTGAAGTTCTTGGCAGGACTGTAGCTGTACCCTGAGTACAGCCTGGGTCCGATGGTTCCTCCCGGGGTACTTTTCGACCACCAGATGTCACGCAAGGACCATCAGCACAGTGTGCGCTGCTGCGTGCTCCAGCTCCCTGCTCCCACGTTGACCAAGCCATGGTGTCTCCTGGTTGCGTGTTGCCTGCCACGTTGGTGTTGTCTTCTCACACATTTCTCAGCAGAGTCTGCACAGCACTTGGAAAAGGAATGTGTGTGTTAAACCAAACGCCTTCCCCCTCTTTCCAGCCGGCAACAAATCCACTGAAAATCCCTCTGTATCAAACATGTAAGTGCTTGGCTCCAGCACGATTACTCCAGAGTCCCATCAATTTTACAAATTGGCCAAAACATTTTTTGGTAGAGAGGTCTTGCATACCAGAAGTCTTGAGTCTGATCAAGCTGCTGCCCTACTATAGATCATGGCTGTTATTTTTATAACTCTCTATTACCGTGGCAAATGCTGGGGGGATGCGGGGTAGAAACCACATCAGTAGCAAATTCTGTCTGATTTGTGGTCGTATGCTTATAACTCTA